CCGAGCATCAATTTTTGCAATATTAAATTGGCTTTGAGATGCATACAATCGCACAAAAATCTTGACCTCGTTTACAACATAAATTTGCCGAAAATTTGCATCCTCTTTTTGATTTTGATCTCAAACCTCAGGCTTTTGTTTTTAAAAAAGTTATTTTTGAATGATGGAGTTCTTTTCTTTACTATTATTATTTTTCTTTTTCCTTTTTCTTTTCTTTTCTTTTTCTTTTTTTTACATTTTATCTTTGTGCTCTTCTCTTGGTTATCCAAACTGTTAAGATAAACTAGTCCGAGCCACTCACTGCAAGGTAACTAAGGTATCTAGCGTTAAGAATCTTCCAACTGGTTTTATCGTAATTACAGATGTAAATAAAACGCGATCACATTACGGTGAACACCACAATCGGAAATAAAGCGAGAGCTAGATAACCGGAAGTTTACGCATGAGCTGATGACAATTATCAGTATAGCTGGCATAACACGGGCGCGTTAGGGACGGACCATTAGAAAAGTTATGGGGAGGGTGGGGAATTTTTGTGCCGCAGGAATTTTTTTTCCGTTATCAAATTCCTTGTATTATTTTTTTTTTTTAGGCCGTAGCATGAATATCTTTTTAGGGTTAATTGGCGTGCATGAAGTTTTTTTCATTTAATTTTGCCTTGCGCGAATATATTTTTTTGTATTTCGCCCTCCCCCCCCCCATAAGTTTTCTAATGGTCCATACCTTATGAGCCAAGCGAGCTCAACGCGGCATTTTGCCCGAAGCACGAATTGTTTTCTTTCAGTCAGCCGTCCGTAAATAAAAAAGCATCGATGAAAACGGTGTTTTTTGCTTTTGTTTTTGTTTTTTTGTTTGTTTGTTTGTTTCACATAACCCTTCAATCTTACTTGGAGCCCAAAGAAAATAGCTTCTTCTCGGACTCCTCCCTTTAGAATTAATGAAAACAAATTTATATTCTGAAGCGCTAATTTTCCAGGGCGCTTTTCTGAAAATTCATTTATTCTATAGATAGCGAAAGTGGGCTTCACATGGAACACAGCCACACAAAAGAGTTTCCCTCTCTGTTCTTTATACTCTCTTGAGTACCGAACTTCATTTTGATCTGATAATTACGATATGAAAATAGCTTCTTCTCTGATTCCTCCCTCCACTCAGAATTTCCTTTGCCCTCCGTGGCAAGGAAGGAGAAAGGGCCGGGGAAGGAGGGGGAGGTACGAAACTACACATTGCATAGAAAAAAAAGTTTAACTGTAATTATCATAATTATCAGATCAAAATGAAGTTCGGTACTCAAGAAAGTATAAAGAACAGAGAGGGAAAGTCCTTCGTGTGGTTATGTTCCATGTGAAGCCCACTTTTGCTATTTATAGAATAAATAAATAAACAGAAAAGCGCCATGGAAGTTATGCCCTTTAGAATGAATAAAAAGAAACTAATTTATATTCTGAAGCGCTAATTTTCCATGGCGCTTTTCCAGTGCAAATTAATATATGTTCATGGCATAGCAAAATTGCTAGTTTGCACGTGGCGTCACGGCGGCCATGTTGGTGGTGTGTTAGGATTAAGAACAAAAGCATTTCTCTCCTCTAGGAAATAAAACCCTATTTTTCATTTCAATTCTTCGAGAAAAATTATATTGTATTGACCACCAACGGATCACCAACAGGGCCACCTTGTCACGTGGTTGCAAGTCAAGAATTGAGCCTCAGTTGGAACATAACCACATAAAGGAGTTTCCCTCTCTGACTTTTATACTCTCTTGCAGTATTTCATTGCATCAGTGGTAAGATATTCTCTGACTAATATTTTCCAGGTATGAATTCCTTAGCAGTTCTGATCGGTCTGACAATGTTCAGCTGCTGTGCAACTGAGTGGGTCGACATGTCGTACAGTTATGACAGCAAGACCAACTACTGGCCTGGGCACACTAGACTTAAACAAATTCCCGTTCAGAACAAACTGGCGCCAGCTGGGTTTTCCTACTACGACATTCTGATGTCAGAGCACGGCGGAACTCATATAGATTCCCCTAAACATTTCTACCAAAAAGGGAAACATTTGAACGAAGTTCTGTTGGATGAACTCATAGGGCCAGCGGTGGTTGTGGACATCTCTGCGCAGACTGCCAAGGACCAAGACTATCAGTTGAGTGTAGGTGACCTGGAAGCCTGGGAAGAAAAACATGGTAAGATCCCTGATGGTGCAATCCTCTTCCTTTACTCAGGCCGGGGAAAGAACTGGGCAAATCCAGACAAGTTTTTGGGCTATGAATCAAACAAGACTGGTTACGGCTATCTACATAACCCAGGTAAAGCTAAAATAGAAAAGTATCGAACGTTTGTACTATTTCTTTATTTTCTAGTCCACATGTAGCCGTACCGTCCATTTTATTTTCCTGTTATATTACATTGGGATCACAAGTAGTCCACATGGAGCTCAGAGGTGTTTTACTTGACTCTCAAAGACTGGAGATGAAGAAAGATTATTGAAGGACGAAACTGAAACACAATTACTGGGCGAGGATGAGTAAAAGGACGAGGGAGGTGAGAAGAAGTAGGGAAAGAGATCAACCGCGGAAGACAAAATGACACTAGCGAAGGATGAAGATAACGTGAGAAGACGGAGGAAGTTTAAAAATATGAGAAAGAGGAGGAGGGGAGAGGAGAGTTAAGAAAGATGAAGAGAAACAGGAAGCTAAGTAGGGGAAGAAGAAACCGTGTAAATTATTAATTCTTCGCACTCCTATTTAATTAATCGATTTAATTACCATTAACTTTATACAAAGTATAATGTGGCAAAAAACTCCAATAGGTTCTCCGACTCAGGTTCCAAGGCGACAAACGTTAATACCGGGTCAATCGAGAGAGAATGATCTCTCTTGGGTCAATATACTAGTACTGTCATACTGGCAAAAACAAGAACAGAAGGTTCGTGTTTATATTTAGAATAAAAAAAAAAGAAATTCTTATCCTAGGTTTCAGTCCTGAAGCAGCTGAATGGATTGTGAAGAGTGGAAAAGTCACTGCAGTTGGTGTGGACGTAGTTTCGTTGGATAATGGACAGTCGGAAACCTTCGAGGCACATACAATCCTATTAGGTGCCAACATATCCGGATATGAAATGGTCACTAACCTGGATAAGTTACCTCCCGCGGGAGCTATGGTGTACGGTGCGCCAATAAAGATCAAATATGGTTCAGGAGGCGCTAGTAGGATCTTTGCTGACATTGGAAAACATGAAAAGTGCGATAAACGGAGAACGGAGGTAGCACGCTTAATATAATTTATATAGGACGGTATAGCAAGAATGTAACAATATTAGCAATAATGCCGCATTTTTTAATTGATTTATGACGTCTTTAATTCTATTCCCTTTCAATGACTGTTAGACAGATGTAAAACATTAATGTTTTGCAAAGTAAAAGAGAACTGATGGTCTGTTTGGTGTTGCGTACAAGTATAACTAAGACAGAGAGCGAAAATGGTTGTGAAAGCAGAAATAATTTGAAATGGAAATATATAGAGGAAGCCCTTTGCGAAGACGATGTGTGCAGCTTTTGATTTCTACGATGTGTTGTTGGACTGTTAGTTCATTTTCATTTCAACGTTTCTGTTTGTTGTCAGTTGTTCTAAATTCATACACCACTAAGATGACTTTGCGTTAACTGCGTTTGGGTTTTTTAACTCATACATTTGTTACCCTTTTTTAACAACCTATATCAAAAAAAAAAAAAAAAAAAAAAAAAAAAAAAAA